TAAACTCACGCTAGGCACATGTGCGTGCGGGCCCAAGATCCTGAGAGGAGAGTGGAGGAGAATGGATTGCAGTGTGGCCATCCCCACTGGGGGGGTGATTTCTCTCTTTCTGTCTTTCTCTGTCTTTCTCTGTCTTTCTGGCGAGTGCACACGCCCAATAGCATAAACCTCTCAAAAAAAAAAAAAAAAAGAAAGAAAAAGTCAGTCTAAAGATGGGACCATATGAGAGACTTGGGTTCTTTACCCAGTCCAACCTGAAGACTGAGTATAGTGGCATGAACCTGTAATCCTAGTGATGTGAAAGGCTGAGGCAGGAAGATTGCGAACTCAAGGATGGCCTGGGCAACCTAGCAAGACCTTGTCTAAAAAAAGAGCTAGGCATGGTGGTGTGTGGGTGTGGTCCCAGCTGTTGGGAGACTAAGACAGGATTGCAACACACTGAGACTCTGTCGTCAAAAAAGAAAAAAAAATGAGGATATGTTTGATTTTGCTCATTCGGATTTTAGACATAATAAGAATTGGGTATGGCAGGTGATGGGGTGGTTAAGATGCTGGACTCCCTTGCAACCAGCAGATGGCAAAATGGTTACATAGTTGGACTCCCATGTAGTTGACCACAGTTCAAGTTACGTACCTGGCGGCTTAAAATTCATGCGGAGCGCATATGTGTGTGTGCCCAAGATCTTGAGAGGAGAATGGAGAAGGGATTGTGACGTGGCCACGTTCTCTGGGGAGTGATATCTGGCTTTCTGTCCCTCTGACTGTCTGGGTAGCACACATACCTAATACCAAAAATCTCTAGGAAAAAAAAAAGATGCTGACTCTCACATGGCAGACCACAGTTTGAACCCTGGACCTGGCAGCTTGCTTTCTCACTTTCCTTCTCTCTCTCTCTCTCTCTCCGTCTCTCTTTTTTTTAAAGAATTGTTTATTTAATTTTATTTATTCATTCATTTATTTTAATTTGGCCAGAGAGAAACACACACAGAGAGAGAGAGAAAGTCAGAAAACAAGCCACTAGGTCCAGGACTGGAACCACAGTCTACCATGTGGGAGTGTCCAGCACCTTTACCACCACACTACCTGCTGGCCCCTCACTTTCCTTCTTTCTCTGTTCAAATTTTTGTTTGTTTGTTTTTTCCAGGAAAGGATTTTGTTATAGGGCGCACGTGCGCTCGCCAGAAAGAGAGAGAGAGAGAAAGCGAGAAATCTGCCCCCCACCACAGGGGGGTGGCCATGCCTCAATACCTTCTCCTCCATTCTCCTCTCAGGATCTTGGGCCCACACGCACACACGCCCGGCGTGAGTTTAAGCCACCAGGTACGGGACTCAAACTGTGGTCGACCACATGGGAGTTCAGCAACATAGCCATTACGCTAACTGCTGGTCCCTCTCTTCAAATTTTAAAAATCATAGTAATGATAAATAAAATAATTCTTTTTTTTTTTTAAGAGGTTTTTGCTATAGGGTGCATGCTCTTGCCAGAAAGACAGAGAGACAGAAAGTGAGAAATCACTCCCTGGGGGGATGGCCACCGCAACCCTTCTCCTCTATTCTCCTCTGAAGATCTTGGGCACACACACACACACACACACACACACACACACACACACCTGGAGCCACCGGGTCCAGGGCGTGAACCACGGTTGACTACGTGGGAGTCCAACGACATAGCCATTATGCTAACTGCTGGTCCCGAATAAAATAATTCTTCAAAAAATAGAAAAGAAATAAGCATAAATGTCTAAGATCAAGATCTGTGTCTTTTTTTTTTTTTTTTTTTAAACTAAGATTGGATCTTGTATTGCCTTGGCCATCCTCAAACTCTCCATCCACCCACTTCAGCCTCCTGAGTCACTAGTGGTACAGGCCTATGTCACTGTGCCTGGTGTGAAGATCTAAGCCTATATATTTTTTTCTTTTCTTCCCCCTCTTAGTCAATTTTAAGATTATAGCTATTTATTTTTAGAGAATAATTTTTTTATTTAACTTTATTTATTTTAATTTGACCAGAGAAGGACAGAGTGGGAGAGGGAGAGAGAAGGAAAGTGAGAAAGCAAGCTGCCAGGTCTAGGACTTGATCCATGGTTGGCCATGTGGGAGTCCAGAGCCCTTAACCACCACACCACCTGCTGGCCTCTGTACCTGTTTATTCTGAAAAAAAAAAAAATGTAAGCCTTGCAAGATGGAACAATGAATTTGTGTTTTACCTTTAACCTAAATTCACTAATTATTAACGTTTTGCCCACTTTTTTTCTCTTTCCTTCTCTTGATATGTGTTTATTCTGAAAAAAAAAAAAAAATGTAAGCCTTGCAAGATGGAACAATGAATTTGTGTTTTACCTTTAACCTAAATTCACTAATTATTAACGTTTTGCCCACTTTTTTTCTCTTTCCTTCTCTTGATATGACTGCTTATACATGTTATGTTTATTTTCTGTGGCTACTAAAAGCATGGAATATTCTTTTATAATAATAACCACAATTGGGACTAGAAGTTGGCATAATATCTATGTCGCTGGACCCCCATGTAGCTGACCACGGTTCAAGTCCCGGATGCTGTCAACTCACGCTGGGTCCGTGTGCGTGCGTGCCCAAGATCCTGAGAGGAGAGTGGAGGAGAAGGGATTGCAGCGTGGCCATCCCCCCTTGGGGGTGATTTCTTGCTTTCTGTCTCTCTGTCTCTCTCTGTCTTCCTGGGGAGCACACGTGCCCTATAGCAAAAACCTCTCCCCACCACTGCAAAAAAACAAAACAATAACCACAATGTAATGTCGATTTAAGGAAATTTAAAATTGATGCAATATTATTTAATATATATCATTCTTATTCAGAATTTGCCAGCTCTCCCAATATTGTCATCTATAGCATATTGTATCTCTTTTTATTTTTTTAAAGAATTTTTTAAACTTTATTTATTTATTTTTAATTTGACCAGAGAGGGACAGAGCAAGAGAGAGGGAAAGTGAGAAAGTAAGCTGCCAGATCCGGGACTCGAAGCGCAGTCAGCAATGTAGAAGTCCCAGCGCCCTTAACCACCACACCACCTGCCAGCCCCCATGCTGTACCTCTTTTATCTCCTTTAATCTAGAATATTTCTTGAGTGTTTTTTGTTTTTGTCTCTTATGACTGATATTTTAAGAGTGAATTGGCAATTTTTTCTTATAGAATGCCCCTCAATTGAGGCTTGTATGATAGACAGTTCTGTGTTTTTTTTGTTTTGTTTTGTTTGTTTGTATTTTTGCCAGTATGCATGCATGCACGTTTGAGAGATACAGAGTAGGGAGAGGGTGAGAAAGCACCTCTTCTGGGGGATAGTCATGTTGCAATACCTTCTCCTCCATTTCTTGCTCCTTCTGGGATTTGGGGCATGCATGTCCCAGCGCCCAGCATGTTTTCTCAGGCCGCTGGATCCAGCACTCAAACGTTAAGGTCAGCATGTAGGATCCAGCCACCTTAACCACACCACCAGCTGGCCTGCTTCTGTTTTTGTTTTGGTTGTGTATCTTTGACAGAGTTCCTACTATTACTATATAGGACATACTGTATCCTTCTCACTTCCTTGTCCCAGGAAGCACTGATGTCAGTTTGTTCCATTATCTTTTAGGTGTTTCGATATATTATAACCTAGAATAGTATACTGTGTTACCTGAGATCACTCTAGCTTCCCTACCGTAAGGGATCTTTTTCTTATAGCCCAGAAGGTGCTCCCTACTAAGATCTCTTTATTTGACAAGTTTATTGATTTGGATTATAAAAGTTGATTGAGACTGTTAAACTAAATTAGTCCAGACATTTTATCAGCCTACTCAGGAGGAATAGAGGTAATTCACAATTCTAATATAGGAACATCTGTATGTTTAACAAATGATAATTAGCTAAAGGACGCTCTCCTATAAGAGCATAGTGTCAGGCCAGCTGGTGGTGTGGTGGTTAAGGTGCCTGGAATCCCACATGACCGACTACGTGGTTCAAGTCTTAGAACAAATGTAGACGGAAAGCTTTCTTACTTTCTCTCTGATGAGCGCACATGCCTAATAGCAAAATATATGTGTGTGTGTGTGTGTGTGTGTGTATGTATGTATATGTGTAGTGGGCATAGCATCAAAGGATTCCCTTTTGGGCCAGCAGGTAATGTGGAGGTTAAGGTGACTGGATCGAGTGTGGTTCAAGTCCCAGACCCAGCAGCTTGAAAGACACTCTGGCATGTGTGCATGTATGCCCCAAATCCTGAGAGGAGAGTGGAAGAGAAGGGCTTGTCCAGGAGGGTGATTTCTCACTTTCTCCCCTTTTGTCTCTCTTTCTGTTTGGCAAACTCATGCACCCTGTAACAAACTAAAACAAAACAAAAACAAAACAAAACAAACAAGATTACTTTTATGGTAAACTAAATATTTTATATGTGATTTGGTTTACCTAAAAGAAAATCTGTTTTAAATGGCATGTTTACTACCTTAATCTATACTCTTTCACGTGTTGCAAATACAGAAAACCTCGCCTTGTATAGGTACTCCTCACTTAATGACTGAGTTCTGTTCCTACGTTATAAAGTACATCTTTTGGGGTGAGCTCCATGGTACAGCGGTAACATGCTGCTCAAGAGAAGCTTGATCCCACGTGATGACTATGATTTAAATCCCCAGCCCAGTCTGCCTGAAACATGCCTGGCACACACATGAATGCTTAGGATCTGACGGACGGGAAGACTGGAAGAACGGGATTATGTATGGTGTGATCAGACCCTACAGAGGATGCTCTTCTTTCTCTCTCTCTTTCTCTCTCCCTCCCTCTCACTCTCATGTGCATGTGTGCACACTCTGTCATATAAAAATCCGCCTTTTCCTCTGTTGTTGTTACCAGTTGTTCTTGAGGGTAAGTGGCAATTTCATGGTCAGAGGGTAAAAAATCCGCCTTTTCCTCTGTCGTTGTTACCAGTTGTTTTTGAGGGTAAGTGGCAATTTCATGGTCAGAGGCCAACTCTCCGTCCCTTCTCTCTGCAGCCATCCTTTCATCAAGCCGATAACGTTCGGGGAACCCGCCATCACGGGCTGGTGGAGAGGCCATCCAGGAACCGCTTCCACCCCCTTCACCGAAGGTCTGGGGACAAACCTGGGCGACAGATATCCTTTTTCACTGTCGGAGGGGAGTGTAAGTTTTGAAATGTTTGCAAGGTTTTCAGGATTTGCTTTTCTCACAGTTCCTCTTTGGCCTCAAAATTCATTTTATCTGATGTAGGGAGGCAATAAAAGTAAATGATTTGGGAACCAGAGGCATCTCTGCAGCCAGATTCAGGAAGATCATTGTAGGTGCACTTCATGAACGTGTTGGTAATGTTCACTTTAATGGAATAGCTATGCATGGTCAACATGTCATTCGGCCCCCGTGCAGGGCGTTCTCAGTGTTTTCTCTAGAAATTGGCCAAGTCAGTGTTAAACCTAACTTAGAATCAGGTTAGAGAGATGTAGTCTTATCTAGCAAAGATGGATGTACAGATACACATGTGCTCTCTGTATTTATACTGACCTGCTGATCTGCCTCTGGAACTTAAAAAATAAATTTTATACAATTTTCTGTTTGTGGAGTTTCAAACTCAGTAAATGACAACTAAATATAAACTTGGTACTTAGGAAAATTCTTACATAGTGATGTATACTTACATCACCTTAGGAGAATTCTTATATAGTGATGTACACTCACACTGAGCTCTGCTACTAAGTAGGAATTTAAAAAATGATATTTTCATTTTACCATTTTATTTAACTAGTATTTATTGAGAGGTGGAGAGCTGAGTGGAGGGGTGCCACGTGACTAACATTGTTTGTACTGAGGACTTTGGGGATCCAGGATTGAGCTGGATCTCATGGGGGAATTCAGGAGGCCTGCACCCTCATTTCACCCTTCTTATGCTCAGGGTATGCTCAGGGGCAGGGGTGGAGGAAGGAGCCGAAAGGCGGGGTAAGTCTCTGCAGAGCCGAGTTCCTGGCAGTGATGGTGAAGCTGGCCTCGCCACCCAGAAACCAGGAAGTGGGGGAGGGCACTCATGTTTACTGAGCACCTACCCATGCCAGGCTCTGTGCTGGGCAGTTTATATGTTGTTTGAGCCTCCCAACTCACTGAGTCGTTTATTTTTTTAACCCCTGCTTTCCCATGAGTAAACTAAGTATTCAAGTAACTTTCCCAAGTTCCTATGCCATAGTTGGGTGGAGCCCAGATGGAACCTAGGTCAAGCTGATGGTCCAGCCTGTGTCCCTGTCCTCACTGTCACAGTGTGTACTTAGAGGTGATAAGGACTGTGGGCAGACAGATGTGGGGGAGCGGTTATAGGGTACATAGGAAACCCGACTTTTCTTGCCCTCAAGCTTTGTGTGCTGTGTGTGTGTTTTGGAGAGGTTTTGCTATAGGGCGTGTGCGCTCTCCAGAAAGACAGAGAGAGACAGAAAGCAAGAAATCACCCCTTCAAGGGGGATGACCACACTGCAATCCCTTCTCCTCTATTCTCCTCTTGGGATCTTCAGCATGCACGCACATGCGCCTGGTGTGAGTTTAAAACACGGGGCCCAGGATTTGAACTGCAGTTGACTTCATGGGAGTCCAGTGAAATAGCCATTACGCCATCTGCTGGTCCCAGTGTTTTTTTTTTTTTTGAGAGGTTTTTGCTATAGGGCGCATGTGCTCCCCAGACAGACAGAGAGAGACATAGAGAGAGAAAGCGAGAAATCACCCCCCATGGGGGATGGTCACGCCGCAATCCCTTCTCCTCCATTCTCCTCTCGGGATCTTGGGCACGCACGCACACGTGTCCGGTGTGAGTTCTAAGCCACCGGGTCTGGGATGCGAACCGCGGTCGACTACGTGGGAGTCCAGCGACATAGCCGTTACGCTAACTGCTGGTTCCCAGGTCCCAGTGGTTTTTAATCTATGTGGAGGCAATGATAATGTCCCCAGCAGTGTATATTTCTCTGCTGTCTCCTGCCAGTCCACAGAGGTACCCCAACTGCTAGTTTAATACATTATGTGATCATTACCAGAAAATGGAGATGATCAATGATCTTGAGAATTGCTTTCTTATTTCCTTCCTTCCTTCCTTCCTTAATTGCCAGAGGGTGTATGCACTCACCAGAGGGAGAGAAAATACTCCCCAGTGTAGTGCGATCATACTACAGTCCTTTTTCCTTTGTTTCTTTGTCCTCTCAGGATTCTAGACATGCACATACTTGTGCTCAGGCTACCAGGGCTCGGATTTGAATCATGGTAACCCACGTGGGAATCCAGCTTCCTATGCACAGAGCTTAATCACTATATGATCCAAAAATTCCTTTCTGGAATGTGTGATAACTTTGACATAGAATGAAAAAAGTAAAAGGGGACCGAACTTAGTTCTTCAGCTAATTTGGATGTTTGGAGTGAAATAGTATATCAGACCATCATCTAAGTTGCTTGGGTTTTTTTTAGTTTTTATTATAGGTCATGTGCGCTCACAGGAGAGAGACGGGGCGGGGGGGGAGGGAAAACAATAAACCACCCCACAGGGGAAATGGCCATACTGCAATTCCTTCTCCTCCATCCTCCTCTTGGGATCTTGGGCACGTATGCACATGTACCCAGCGTGCATTTCAAGCCTCTGGGTCTGGGACTTGAACCGTGGTTGTCCATGTGGTATCCCAGCAATGTAATTGCTACACAATCTGTTGGTCCCAGTTAAATGTATATATTTTTAATCTTTTTTCTTTATTTTCTTTAATTAATTTATTTATGAGTAATTTTTAGGGCTCATTTATTTCTTTCTTCCATGAACAAAAGAGACAAGTACCCTCAAGAGAGTCTCCATGCCTTGATCCACCCTCAGCCTCCCCCAACTTTGGATCAAGGGCATGTATGCACCTGGCATGTTTCAGGGAGGTCTCTGGACACAAACTTGGAACCTTCCCATGTGAATTCAGCCTCATAGACCATCACATCCGGCCACCATCCAGCCCCCTTTTCTAATTTCTCAATTCCTTTGTACTCTTTTAAGTGCTCTCTCTCTAGAGAGTATATTATATTATACTCCACTTGCAGGTGTGCACATGTGTCTGTGTGTGTATGGCCATCGCAGGTACTTTCTGAAGCACATCTAGTCAAAATATGTATGTGTACAAATAGCTTTATTATCCAAAGGAATAGAATAGGAGGGGATTGAAGAAAAGAGAAGGTTCATTCATTTAAAAATGATTTGTTGGATGGACCTCATAGGGCAGTGGTTAAGCTCTGTGCATTAGAAGTCAAATTCCACTGTGGTTCACATCCTGGCCTCAACAGTTTGAAATACATGCCAGGCATGCGTGTGCATGTGTGCTCGTGTACATGTACCCCAGATCCTAATGCGTTGGAAAAGTAGAGGAAAGAAGATTGTGGCATTATCAGGCCCCACTGGGGGATGCTTTCTTTCTCTTTCTCTTTCTCTCTCTCTGGCAAGTGCACACACTAGAAGATAGCTACATAGTCAGGGAGAGGGAAAGTGAAAAGGAGCTACACTCCTTCTCTGTGCCAGGCACTGATCTAGCACTGGAGACTCAATGGTGAATAAGAGAGACATAATCCCTGCCTTCTTAAGTTTATAGACCCATGGGAGATGACAGATAACAAATGAGCAAAAAAAATAATTATGGAAAATGACTTAAGATGGTAATAAGTAATACATAAAAGAGTAAAGCAGTTGGGGAGGGAATGTTCCAGACAGAGAAAATAAAATGTGCAGAGTTGCAAAAGGGGAGACTACGTGTGTCCACGGAACTCCAGCTCTTTTCATGTAGCATATCATAGGTTATTACCAATTCCGTATATGGACACTTGGGAGAGTACTGCAAAGCTGGTCAGCTTCTTTTTTTTTTAAATAGAATTATTTATTTAATTTTATTTATTATTATTATTATATTTTTAAATTTTTGACCATAGAGAAAAAACAGTGAGAAAGCAAGCCACAAGGTTCAGGACTCAAACCACAGTCAGCCATATGGAAGTCCAGCACCTTAACCACCATGCCACCTGCCAGCCCCAAAGCTGGTCAACTTCTAAGGAAGAAGCAAAAACGAAATCAGAGACCAGCTCTGTGGTGTAGCAGTATTGCACGCTCAAGAAAAGCCATATCCCACATGGCAACCACAGTTCACATCCCCAAATCAGGTCAGACTGAAGCACACTGGGCACATGTGCACATATGCAGGATCCTGTAGCCTGGAGTAGAAGAGGGAGGAGATTGAAGCATGGCCAGACCTGTGGAGGGTACTTGTTTTTCTTTCTCTCTCCCTTTTTCTCTCTCTCTTACATGTGCATGCACATGCTCTATCATAAATTAATGAAAAAAATCGCAAAAGAGAAAAGACTGGCCCTATAGTGCAGCACTTAAGCCCTGCACATCGGGAGCTGGATCCCACATGACCAGCCACAGTTTGAATCCTGATCTTGGCAGATTGAAAAGCACATTGGTGCATGTGAATGCATACCCAAAATTCTCTTGGGATGGAAAAGTGGAGGAAAAACTATTGTGGTGTGGCCATGCCCCATTGGGGGATGCTTTCCCTCTCTTGCCACCTTCCTTTCTTCCTTTCCTAAATCTCTGATGAGTGCAAGCACCATCTAGCAAAACAAAACAAAAAAACAATTTTGATTAGTTTAAAGATAAATGACATCTGTTCATCAGACAATACAAGTCTGTCTGATCACAAGTTGTAGATTTTTTTTTTTGAGAGATTTTTGCTATAGGTCACGTGCCTGCACCAGAAAGACAGAGAGAGAGAGAGACAGACAGACAGAAAGAGAGAAATCATCCCCCAGTGGGGATGGCCATGCCTCAGTCCCTTCTCCTCCATTCTTCTCTTGGATTTTGGGCATGCACACATATGTGCCTGGCATGAGTTTCAAGCCTCCAGATCTGAGCCTCAAGCTGCATCAAACATGTGAGAGTCCAGCAACATAACCATTATGCCATCTGCTGATCCCCAGATGAGAATATTTTATACTGAAGGTGTTAATCTGTTCAGGAGAACCTGGAAGAGAAAGGTTGTGATTCTGCCTTGTTTTTCATGGCCTCTCTTGGTGACTGTGATATAATTCATTTGGTCTAGCTTCATGGCCTGGTGGT